GTGAGCAACAACGACCAAAACATGAATGTGGACGTACAAGACATCAACGGACAGTGAGTGTGTGCAGAGAGAAAAAGGCTTAGCTTTCACTCTGATTATTATTATTCTCATTGAGGAGAAGACTTTAACTAGTTTTATTTAAAGATGTGTGTTTTGTCATATTTCCCCACCTGTACAGGACTCCTCTGATGTTGGCGGTGCTGAATGGACACACAGAGTGTGTGTACTCTCTACTCAGTCAAGGGGCCACTGCGGAGCATCAGGACCGCTGGGGGAGGACAGCACTACACCGGGGGGTGAGACATTCACACACTTCCACTGACATTACATGATAACCCTGAATATTGCCCTAAGGACAGTTCTATCTAAGGAGCCTGATACGACTGCCAATCTAAATGTCCAATGTGCAGCAGTACTCTGGTGATAACTCATGTGCTTTCTGGCCATCAGATCAAAATCCTACCCTCAGGCTAAATACCTACAACATAAGGCTACTGTTTGAAATCAAAGGTTCCTTTTATTAATCAGAGCGCTGATGTCAGGCCGTAGTATGGTACTCTCAAAACACTAAATATATTTTTAATTTATGAATGATTTTTTTGTTGAAATCAGCAGGGGGAGGTGCGTGGGAAAAGCTGTTTGCTTGTTGCTCTCTGTCGTTTCCTCTGCCTGTGGATTGCTACAATTCAGGAAATGGGATTAGGGCAGACATTTTGTCTTCTAGAATAAAGAGCAAGCAGGCCATGAAACATGTCTAGTGTCTGTGTGTTTATTGATCTACTGCGCTCCGTTTCATTAGAACGGAAAGCACCATACTTTAAACAACATCTTATTTCATAATTGCATGCACTGTATCTTGGGCAATACTTTCGTTTTTATATAAAACACCTTAAACAGAGGATGATCAATGAGCAAAATGAACCATACATATCACAACTATATACTAATAAATATATTTTCCAATTTTTTATTTTCTCTCACAGGCGGTGGCGGGCCAGGAGGAGAGTGTGGAGGCCCTCCTCCAGCGGGGGGCCGCTGTGTGTGTCAAAGACATCCGGGGCCGCTCCCCTCTTCACCTGGCCTCCGCCTGTGGCCGTGTGGGGGTCCTGGGGGCCCTGCTGCAGGCCACCCCCACCAACTCCCTCACTCTCACACACCTCACTGACAACCAGGGCTACACACCTCTGCACTGGGCCTGCTACAACGGTACACAGCGGGACACACTGGAGGAACATCACTGTTCTGTATGAAGCGACAGCAGGAGTATTCACATCTGTTCCTCTCTTTGTATCTCAATCTGGTCTCTAGGATACGATGCTTGTGTGGAGGTGTTGTTAGACCACGAGGTGTTCAAGAGGATTAAAGGCAACCCCTTCACTCCACTGCACTGTGCTGTGTAAGACGTTGTGTACCTATTCATGTTTTTATGTAGATAGGCACTGGTCTGAAAGCTTCTGACAGTGTGTGTTTTGTATTTCAGTATGAGCGATAATGAGGGAGTGGCTGAGATGTTAATTGAGTCCCTGGGCACAGCTATCGTCAACTCCACTGACCCCAAGGGCAGGTGAGACATACAAAAAAAAGCTAGCGTGACATCATTTTTTTTAATTAAAGCTGTTCACGTGCACAGGATCTGCTGCTGTATTGCCAACTGTGTTTGTGTCTTCATAGGACCCCACTCCACGCTGCAGCTTTTTCCGACCATGTGGAGTGTGTTTCCCTGCTGCTGAGCCACGGAGCTCAGGCAAACGTAGTTGATGCACACACTCGCAGCACACCACTGATGATGGCAGCTCTAAACGGACAGACCAATACTGTGGGTCAGTATAAACTGACAGATAGATTCACTGTCTTTTTCTTTTTTTGTCTCTGTTCGATTCTCTTTTTTTCTTCTACTGTTATTTCATCTTTGAGTTTTTTTTATTTTTTAACCTTTGACATGAACACACCTCCTTTCATGTGTTGCAGAGATGTTGGTGAGCAGTGCTAAAGCAGACTTCACACTACAGGATACAAACAGGAACACAGCATTGCATCTGGCTTGTAGCAAGGTAACAATTCACAGAGACAGGAAGTGCTTTTGTATTGACTGGCCATAGTGTGACTTTTGGTGATTTAAGATGTCCCCAAAAATCTCTTAATCAGTGTTGGTCATCAGGTGGCTGCTGAAAAAGTACATTTCACATAGTAATGATGGTAAAAACTATTTTTTAGTGAGCTGTCCCTAAACATAGATGTTAAAAACAAGAAGTATACAACATGTACTATTGGTCACCTCTTTGCTCTCTGTACCTCTCAGGGTCAAGAGACGAGTGCCTTGTTGATTCTAGAGAAGATCAGCGACAAGAACCTCATCAACAGCACCAACACTGCTCTCCAGACGTAAGAGTATTCCCAGGATGCACCAGGGTAATCTGCTTGATTCAGACTGCTTTTATTTGAACCTCACCCACCCTCCTTCTTGTTGCAGGCCGCTGCATGTAGCAGCGAAGAAGGGGCTGACAGTGGTGGTTCAGGAGCTGCTGGGGAAAGGAGCCAGTGTGTTAGCAGTGGACGAGAACGGTCAGATATCACTTTACTGCACATCCCTCACTACTCACACATACTGCCTCAGTGAGACGTGAACTTTCCTTCTTCTTGTTTTTTCTTTTATGCGTAGGTTACACTCCGGCTCTGGCATGCGCTCCTAACCGAGATGTGGCCGACTGTCTGGCGCTCATCCTCAACTCCATGATGCCCACCTCCCCCATGGTCACCATTGCAGCTTTGCCTGCCCTTTCTCTTACTCACACAGTCATTAACCACCACCCCACCAACAACCACGTCTCTAAAGGCGTGGCCTTTGACTCTCTTCCCCCTTTGAGGCCGGACCACGCCTCCTACTGCAGACCGGAGCGCCTGCTGTCCTCCATCACCGGGGACGATGAACTGAATGACTCAGATTCAGAGACGTACTGAGGACATACCTGCTATTGGACCGAGCCCTACACAGCTGGCAGAATAGCCAGCCACTCAGGAGCCTTAAATGATAATTGACAAAAAGCTAAAAGAGAGAAAACAGACGGAAAATAGAGCAGACATGCAGATTATTTTTAGATAAGCTACTTCAAATCTAAAAAGAACCCCTTGTTGTACATCATGTTTCTCTTAAGGTCACACGGGGTAAAAAATAATGTACTAGAATTTAGAATAATGTGAATACGGACTACATTTCTCTCAAACAGCATCACTGTATGGTCAGTAACATGGCCTATATCTTTTTCAATGTAAAGCAATGTTGTTTATTCTTTTTAAATTAAGCTCCTTCTCTTTGCTGATACTTCCTGGAGTGATTTTAAGCCTTTTCACAGTTTTTCCTTCAACTATTACTAGAAGAGCATCTACTGGAAAAAAGCTCAGTGTACTGCTTTTATTCTTACAATTGTCTAAAGAAAATAACAGATGGAAAATGTAATGGGACCAGGAGATTGATAGCTGTTTTCCCTTACTGTACTTTTGAGTTTTTATTCAGAGCCTTCATGGCAGACAGTCACAGCTGTCGGTCACGCACACTTGAGACGCTGCATTATTGTTATTGAACCACTTTTCAATTCCTAAGAGAGGAAATTATTATTGAATCCTATGAATTTATTCCAAGTGGAAATGGAATCCTTGGGAGCTGATGAGGACAGCAGATGGATGGAAGATTCAGTGTGTGATTGGTCCAGGATTTGATTGATGACCCGAATGAGCGGCTCAAGGTACTTGTAACCTGCAATGCTGTAACTACTCAATGTCTTTGTACTGTACTGTAGACAGAGGAAAGTGGCTGACACTGTGTGTGTGTGTGTGTGTGTGTGTGTGTGTGTGTGTGTGTGTGTGTGTGTGTGTGTGTGTGTGTGTGTGTGTGTGTGTGTGAGAGTGTGAGAGAGAGAGAGAGAGAGAGAAATTAGTAAATATTGCCTTTTTAGGAACAAGAAACTTTCAGACAGAGATGAATAATACTGGCGCATTGTTTGTAAAGATTGTAAGTAATTAACAAATAAAGATATTCGTTTTTGATTTCTCTCAGTTAATGTTTGACAGAAGACAAATGTTTGATTTTGCACCCTGTGGTTTGTTTATAACCTTACATTAGCCTTTTCATTCTGGCGATTGCATTTACATGCAAAAGTAATTTGGTGGTGTTCATTTTTTAGAGATTATCCTGCTGAACAAAACATGTAAGTGTCATTAACATGTGTTTGCCACGGATCTTAATTTTCAAAATCGAATTGAACAATCCCAAAACCTTTTTTAGGATGACCCGCTTGCAATGCGGGTCATCCTAAAAAATGAAGTCATCCCTTCACCACTCTATTGGACCAAGCCTTCACTGTCAAATAATACCATTGTTGTGTATAATAAAAGTTTGATAGTTCATATTGTAACGTTGTTTTAGAACACCCTACGGCAGGGGTGTCAAACTCAAGGCCCGCGGGCCAAAACCGGCCTGCGACCTCATTTTACATGGCCCGCAAGAGCTACCAAAGAATATGATATACAATACATTTGGTGTAATTGTTCAATATTTGCTCTCAATTACTTGCCCTAGACTTCTACTTACAGACGTAGTTATTTATGAAGTTATTACCAGAACTGATAATAATCCAATGCAGAGCCAATAATGTAATATAATACATTATTTTATATATATTATATATTTATATAGTCTTAAAGTTACAACAGGCCCTTTGAGTGCAAACATAATGCTAGTGTGGCCCGCAATGAAGTTGAGTTTGACACCCCTGCCCTACGGGAACTTCATATCAAAGCCACAGGATCATAAACTATGATGTAAAACCTTAGCTGTCAGTGTATTTTCATATAAATATTCTCTTGCTGTTGAGTCAAGTGGTCACTCTTAATCAGCATAACATGCCTTCTATTATATTTTGAAGCTAACCATCATGAGGAATGTTGTATCATAACCCCTATTTAAAGAAAAAATACAACACAGACACGGCAAGAGGTACCTTGATGTATTGTATGGACTTACAAACCTCCAGTTACGAATGTTATGGTTGTACAATTATTTTCTATTAAGTGTTAAATTGTCCATAAATCTGCAACTCTTTAGCCCTTTTTTCAAATTGGCAAAAAGTAAGTTCTTGTTACCGAGTCTGTCATTTTATTCATTGTCCAGGTGATACATTCGTCCGTACAGACAGGCAGTGACCAGCCCATCGGTCATGTTTGAGTGTGTCATGGTCACTGTGCCATCTGGAGCTGTTTCCAGTTGCTTTGGCTGCTCCAGGACAAACTTGCTGGCCAAAACTGATGGATACACATATCTGGACCCAAACCTCCCTTCCAAAACGAAGTCAAATTTAGCCTCTTGTACTTTCTGTCCACAGGAACTGGGGTCCAACCCTGCACAGCGGAGGAGTGCACACACCTGCAACATAGATAATGCATTTGACAAGAGGCAGTTTAAAATATTACAATTAATTTGTTCAAATGTATACCTGGATGAAGTAGATTCCGTGGTGTTTTCCAGCAAATGCTCCCAATGCGTAGAGCTCTTTACTGTCACCCTGTTGTATCCGCCGGTACTGGAGTTTGCAGCAAAATGTGCCATTACACACGTTGACTTCGCCTTCTGTCTCCATCAAGGGGACAAATGTAAGTGGGTCGTATGTCACGGATGAGTTAAAGGTTTCAGGAGCTGTATGGAGAAGATGTGCAATATATATATATGTATATATATACATATATCAGTGGCGAGCCGTCAGGGCCCTCTAGGCCCTCTGTGAGGGCCTAAGATATTCTACAAAAATAATATTTACATTTTTTTTTAAAATATTTTTTTGTTTTGTTATATTCTTCATTAGTTTTACCAAAATAACTTGATTTAATTGTATTTAAAATAACATTTCCAAAGAAATAAATCCTTCGAATCTGCCTATTCAGTTTCTGTTGGAATGTGAAGGGTTAAATGAAAGAAGCTCGTCTCTGCGCTGCGTCCACACTACAGCGTCGACAGCTTCAAAAACAGTTTCCAACGCGTCTGCCCATTCACTTTGAATGGGGTGACGTCACGTTGCCTCGCTTTTCGCCGAACTGAATTGTGGGTAGCATAGCGGTCCGTCTCCGGCGTCACAAGTTGAACAATGTTCAATTTCTGACGCCGGAGACGGCGGAGTAGCTAGCGCCAGCCAATCAAATCCCGTTTCTGAAAATCGAGAGATATCCCGCCGTTGATTTCTATATTTCAAAAAAAGATGGGGGAGAAACTATTTATCGCCGTAGCAAATCACCCGGTTTTGTATGACCAGACCCTCTTCACCTACCGGGATACAAACCGGAGGAACCAGGCATGGAGGGAGGTGGCAGAGACAGTGGGTGAAACTGGTAGGTTTTCGCCTGTTTGGGGAGTTTATATATCAGGGTTGCCAACTCTCACCCATCTGGCGTGCCGCGTGTGACACACGCTTTCACTCTCAATCTCACGCTCTCACGCTGCCCAAACTATTCTCACGCCAAAAAACAAGAATACCGAAGACTAGAAACGGTTTTGAAAACTTTTGTCACGTAGTGATCGTCTTCTCAATAAAACATCTTTGATAATGTCTTCTGGCCAATCAGAATCAAGATAACGGCGTGGGGTTGTTGCAGGAAGTCCCGACGGAGAATACTTTTGCTGAAGTACATCTCTATATACATCAATACAACATTACGTGTTGATAGAAATCAACACGTAATGAAATAAGACCCCACGGTTTGATGATTGATAGGTGTGTGGGCTGTCTTTCATTTTGACACACAGAACAACGGGGGCTATCCACCCTTATCCACAATGTAAAGTAATTCACACAGCCTCTTCCTCTTCTCTCTGTGAGGAGCAGCAGGTTCAGCTTTCAGAACAAAGTAACAAAAAACTAAAATGGCATTCATTTTTTTTAAATATGTCGTGTAGTAATAGATTTATTTATTTTTCTTCTCAAGAGCGTACCAGAATGTGTATTTTATGTTAGTATTTCAAAAAATCTCCTGGGGGAGAATCCCCCCAGACCCCCCTGCAGGGGTTGGGCTTTCAGCATGTAAACTCTTTCACCTGTGGGGAAATTGCAGGATTGGCTCCAGGTCGCCCTTTTTATTTACTACAAGACAAATGTGCCTTTTTATTTCATACAGTTCAATTTGGATTGAGACAGGGAAATAATCTAACCCTCACGCGTGGCGTTTCACTGTCAAGGGGAGCGTGTATGTAATTACATTGCAAATACTGACTTGAGCCCCACCACTGTATGGGTTAGCCCTACCATAGATTACCCAACACAAATACTCTCTCGCAACTGCCGACCCGTATTGCGCAAGCGCAGATTTAAGATCCAGTAGAAATGATAAAAAAGTAAAAGTCTGCTGCTTATTGTTCTACTAGGCCAAAATAGAGTGTGTTAATTAATATTGTAGCTGCCCTCGGCAATAATCACAGCAGAGTCTCGACGGATGCAGTTTCTTTAATGGTCTTTCAATCATCGTGAAAACTAAAATATATACAGACATAGAACAAGTACAAGTCATTGATTAAATCACAAATATATATTCACGGATCAAACAAACACTTGTAATACAGTCCCTGTAACGTACCTCGCTCCGCTCACCGAGGGTGCAATATGTGCGACGTCAGGCATGGCAGTCCTTATCTTAATATATCACTTGGCACTATGAACAGTTGAGCCAAGGAACAACACACACAGTTTCAATTAAAACCTATATAAACCGATTATATAACACAATGTTCGTGGCAATTCAGTAACTTACATACATGTATGTTTGAGAGGTCCGTAGCACAGGCTAGACCTCGTTGCCTGGCAATAGTTTAAATCAGTTATGATTCCGGGGTTCGCAGCGTCACACCCATACCTACGCCCGCCCCTAACCATGCATATTAAAATAACGTAGCGGTCAGTTACACTCCCACCATATCCTGTCCTGATGAACAAACTTAACGAGGTAAACAAACTGGGTGAATCATACAGGATTTCTAGACCGTCAAAAAAAAAACACACTTAAAGGTATGGTGGTTCACACACAAATAAGCTTAGTCGCCTTAGCAAACATGTTTACTAGTATGTCTGATGCAAGTGTATTTTAGCCAATTATTCACCTTCAATGAGTAAAACTAGCTTCTGAATAGGACGTTCTATGATCGAGGGTTTGGAGGTGTAATCTTGTTTCTTTGTTGATTTGCGATCTCCAACTTGCACCTTGACTCAACGAACCAAACCATCGGTCCCTTCAGTTGTCTCGACCACTCGCCCTAGCTGCCACTGATTCCTTGGAAGCATGTCTTCCTTGATAATGACTATGTCGTTAACCTTCAGGTTGCGCCGGGGTATGTGCCACTTTTGTCTTAAGGAAACGTTCTGGAGGTATTCTTTCTTCCACCGACTCCAGAACTGTTCGGTCAGGTATTGCACTCGTCGCCACCTTTTGGCCGAGTACGTGTCTTCCTTCTGCCTAATGTTGTCACTAAGGAGTTGCATGAAGCGAACATCATCTTGGGACACATACTTGTCTTCGTAGCATTTTTCATTGAAGTCTGATTCCAAGACTTTCAGCACGTCGGTGGCTGATGGTGTTGGCATCTCTTTCACTGTGACTCGATGTACGAAGCTTTGGTGTCCCTGTCTATCCAAATGGGGATTGGCTGAGCCAATGATGCTCCATCCAAGCACGGTTCTTTGTGCGAAAGGTTTGTTTTCGCCTCCTGTGACAACTTCCAAGGGAGCCAACGCTGATGGGCAGTCATAACCAATTAGCAATCCTACCTCGCAGTCTTGAAGTGGTGGTAGCTTGTTTGCTAAGTGTTTGAGATGAGGCCATTGGAGTGCTGTTCTTTTAGTGGGGATATGAGACCTTTCAACTGGTATGAAGTCTCGTGTGTAGGTCTGCTGTAGTTTGACATAGGCTTCAGAGTTGAGTCCCCGAACTTGAAGACCACTGGCAGTCTTACTTGCAATGACTGTGTTAGCCGCTGTCATTGTACTGAGTTTCAGCTGCACTGAATGAGTGTCCACGTCTAGTTCAGTAACTAAATCTTCCAAAATGAAGGTTGAATCACTTTGTGTGTCCAGTAGGGCATAAGTGAGAATTTCTCTATCTGGATCCATTGTTGACGACACCAGAACTGGAACAATGCTAGAGGTGGCAGAAGTATGCTTTGTCACTGCATGGGACATAACTTTGTGGATCTCCTTACTAGTATGTTCTCCTGTGGCAGCAGAATATTTGCCTGATATCTCTGCAGGTCTTTTGTCTGTTTCTATATGTAAGCAGGTTGGGTGACGTCGACTGCATGTGCTGCAGGTGTGTCGCCTTTTGCAGTTTTTGGAAATGTGCCCCTTTCCTAGGCACCCGAAGCAAAGGTTATTTTCGTGAATCAAAGTTTTCTTCTCGTCTGTAGTCTTTGCTGTAAAGGTTGGGCACCTTGCAATACCATGTGTTTCATCCTTACAAACTAAACAAGGTGGCCATGGTTTTGAGTTTGAAGTTACAAATGTCTCTGAGGTGGGTTCATTCATTTCAGTACTGGTGTTGAGTGCTTTCGTTCTCCTGAGAAACCTCTCATCTGTGGTCTTGGTGTTTTTCATTAGGAGGGGGAATACAAAGGGATTACAAGCTATTCTAGCTTCCTTTTGTGTAAACTCTGTAAAACGTGCAAAACTTGGATAGTCTCCAAATTTGTCTAACTCTTCAACAACAATCCGACTCCACCTGTGAACCATCCACTCAGGCAGTTTTTGGAGAAGCTTGTGATTTTCCTCGCAATCGTTTAGGATGGACAGGCCCTTTACATGGGGAATAGCTTCAACACAACCTTGAAGGAAATCTGCAAACTCTCTGAGTGCTATGGGGTCGTTTAAATCTATCTTGGGCCACTTCATGAGCTTGTCTCTGAAAGCCTTTTGGACAATAAAGGGGTTTCCATATCTATCTTGCAAGACTGCCCAGGCACTGTGATATGCATCTTCTGAGTTTCTGTAGAAAAATCCTTCTACAGCCTTGCGCGCCTCCCCTGCGAGGTAACTCTTTAGATAGAGCATCTTTTTACCAACTGGGAGGGGCTTATTTCCAATGAGGGCCATGAAGGACATCTTCCAGTCTATGAACTTCAAAGGATCGCCAGTAAACGTTGTTGGTTCTGGGACAGGTAGACGATTCAGAGTAAAAGAGCTTGCAATTGCCTGGGTTAGGCTGACTTCTTCCTGAGACGTTGGCGCTTCAGGCGGTGCAGGATGAAGCCGGAATGGCTTTGCTTGTGGATTTAGTGGGGGGGGGGGGTTTGTGGTCGGTATTTCGGCCACCATGTTGAGATGTGTGGTCGACCTCTTCTTCACAACTTTCAAACCCATCAAAATGTCTGTACGCTCTCACTCGAGCTGCTGCTACTTTTACTTCATTATCTACATGTAGCTGTTGTAACCTTGTTTTTTCCTCTTCTAGCTTTAACTTCATTTCAGCCTCCTTCTGTTTGATTTCTGCCAGCATTTGTGTTTCCATTCACTCTCCAGTTCATCGAGTCTTGCTTGTTGGCCATGTAAACTTCGTGTAGCTTTTGCCTGTTCTTGTTTGGCTGCAAGGTCTGCTTCTGCATCTGCACGTTTACTAGAGGAGCTGGAGGTGTTACTTGGTTCTCGTGATGACTCTGAGATTACAGTTTCTGTGTTCGTGTTTCCAAAGACAGAGCCATACTCATTCTTATTTAGCGCCGCCCTCACTCTCTCCTTCTCAAGTTGGTCGTTGAAAACCTCATCTATATTCTCTTGCCTTTTACTGAGTAATTCACGAATCTCAGCTGTAAGAGTGACACATGCATCCATTTTCTTGGCAATATCTGGAGTAGTGGTATGGTTGCGTCGAATGGGCTCATAATGTTGCTGTACTATGACATATTTGGATTCTGTGTCCTCTGTGCATCTATTTAGGTCTTCAGCTGAGCAGAAATCTTTCAGTCTTAGTCTAACCTCTCTTGCTGTCTGCTTCCAAGAGTCGTAGGCTTTATTGAATGCCTTTTCGTTTTTCTTAGCTTCATTTTCTTGCAACTCTAGGGCTTTTTGTGTTAAACTTCGTTCACGAGAGCTGGACCTGACTTGTGTCTCTGGGGGTTTGTCTGTTTCTTTAGCAGGTAGTGACATTTTGTTTCCCTTTTTCCTCTGTTTGTGCTTTAACTATAGTCTTACAGTGTTTTATGTCTAAACTCAATTTAAGTGAATGGTGACTTTAACTTTAACTATATACCACTCACATCAGACATTTACACTTGGACACGCTAAGATGAGCAAAACATGAATGATACAAAATGTCACAAACAATAGTACTGCTAATGCTCTACAGTCAGACAATTTTTACCCTTTAAACATTAATACACGTTCGGGAATTAAGTTCTCATGAAATGACATAGATGGTTAAGGGCCCTCTTTAACTATATAGCTCTCTGCTTTACGACTGTATTTTTGCACGATATGATATGGCTGTTCTTGAGCTCGTTAATTGTGCATACAATGAATTAGCTTAGCAGACAGCTTTAAATCGATTTACCACCTTAACATTGACTATTTTCTTATATTTATTATTGGCTTTAACTTTTAGTCAGCCAAGTCTCCTACTGCAGCATTGGCCTCCGTACGTTGACGTGCAGGACGTCAGATGATCTCGTATCCGCTGGCTGAGCCGGCACGACGTGGTGAATGGCTCGTGCAGTCGAGTTTTCACTGTAGCTGCCCTCGGCAATAATCACAGCAGAGTCTCGACGGATGCAGTTTCTTTAATGGTCTTTCAATAATCGTGAAAACTAAAATATATACAGACATAGAACAAGTACAAGTCATTGATTAAATCACAAATATATATTCACGGATCAAACAAACACTTGTAATACAGTCCCTGTAACGTACCTCGCTCCGCTCACCGAGGGTGCAATATGTGCGACGTCAGGCATGGCAGTCCTTATCTTAATATATCACTTGGCACTATGAACAGTTGAGCCAAGGAACAACACACACAGTTTCAATTAAAACCAGTGCTGGAATTGGGCCGGTACTCACCGGTACGCAGTACCGGCACTTCTGGTTCTGACCCATGGAGTACCGGCACTTCTTGCTCAGTACCGGCATGCTGGCGGTACTCCGGTACTCATGCACCGTGCCAGTACTCAACACTCTCCCGCCGTTCTTATTATACATCCATATATATATATATACAGCCGCCCGGTACTCAGTAGATGCGTCATGAGGTGCCGAACGGACATTCTCATCGCTCTAACCGCTGGAGTTTCACAGCGGCTGTCAGCTGTTTACTCCTGTCATTCAAACAGAACGTGCTGGAGAGGGGGCGGGGCTTATCTTCTCCATGTAAATACTGTGGTGGAAACGACTATGTCAAAATTAACCTATTTGACCGTGATTTAATAGTAATACACGTTTCAAAATAATAATAATAATAATAATGCCGAAGTAACAACATACTGAAAACTGTTAGTAAAACCATGTTTTAATGCTTTACAATTTACATACCTAGATGCACGTGTGTTGTGTTTATGCAGTGCAACTCCCACCCAGTGGGTGGCTATGTAGAGTGATAGAACAGAGCAGGCACGCCCCCGAGAGAAGGAAAGCAAGTCACGTTACAAATTAGCATTTCAAAAATGTTAGCGTGGATTAATAAAAGTGCAAAAAGACAGCGGTTGTCGCCGGAAGAAACTTCAAATACAGAGAATGCTGTGCCTGTGTTGGAAATTGTGTCTGATGGGGAGCTTTCTTTGGTTGATCCTCCTGCTCCAAGTTCTAGTGCATTAGCATTAGCACTAGCTCCGCCGCCTCCTCCAGAGCCTCTAACGTTAGCTGCTGCTGGCGCAACTGCCACCACCAACACCGGGCAAAGCGATGCAACTGACTGCTGGACAACGGACCAGGTGCAATATTTTTGCAAGACCAATGCATGGCTCCTTCTTAAA